ATAGGAAGTACATTAGATAAAATTATTAGAATGTATTACCCTTCATAACAGCGGTGGGATGCTCTTCTTTGTGATCGGTGGAGTGCCGCTGCAAAGGAATAAATCCAGGAATTTGTTGACTTTGAGTAGAGTTTTCATGATGTGCCCCACGTAGGGAGTCCTCGTCTGCTGTGATGATGGCTGGATGAATTACCAACATTTTATTTAATGAGCCACTACTCACAGTATGTTCACCTCTTTGCTCCTCTTACACCAGACCATTTTCTTTCTCTTGTGTAAAGGGTAAAGAAAGAGGACAGTAGACAGGTCCCTCTATTCTATTCAACACTATCACTGTTTTTTCCCTCATCCATTCATTCACGACATCCTGAGGTCAGGGTTGTGAAACTGATGGAGGACATCCCAGTGATAATGTGCAATGCAGCTGCAGCAACAGACGAGGAAATAGCAGCAATAATGGCAGTCCAAGTAACAGCAGCAACTTGCCATTTCAAATGCATTGTAAAGATCCACTTGGAAGAGCTAGAGTGTAACTTGTTACCCATATATAACTGTATGGGTCTGAGCCTTCAGATTAGTTAAACTGATGCAGAATTATTGGCTAGCCCTTTGATGTTCTTGTCTCTCTTTCTCATGTATCTATACAGCTACCGTGATATCTAGGCTACGATTTTTCCATCCTCCCTAAGAACTATATTTTGGCTCTCTCTGAGGCTAAACTCCTAATGAGAATAAATCTGATCCCATTTTGTTTACCCTAAGCACTGTGATTTACTTACCAATCAGTGAGATCCTGCCCTGGGACCCTAAATCATGGTTACGGAATAAGCCTGAGTGTCTGCATGATCTGATTACTACATAATGGGAGCTAATCCTTAGATTTCTCTTCTGTAACTGTCATTTTTCCCATGTCACAGAATTATCTGGGAGAAAATCATTCAGGGAGATAGATAGCATAAATGTAACAATTTACTTTGAAATTGGTTTTGCTAGTTTCTGATGCAGTAAAATGAAATCCCTGCCGGTATAATTCACACAATGCCTTGCTCTGAGTTAAAGAAGATGCTGTTGAACAATGGATGATAGTTCCTGTCAGGAAAATCCACAAGTGACATACCCACAGTAGATTTACCTGGAGAGTTACTGCATCACCTTTATTTCTAGGCAATCCTGCCAATATTTTCACACTACAGCTGATCAAGAAATAGCAACATATTTTCACATACATGTGCACAAACTTATTGAATTTTTTTAAATCATTTTTTTCATTGAAACTTCACTCTGCTCTAACTTTCTCCCCAAAACTTGATCATACCAGTGAAGGAGGAGTGTGAGAACACGAGCAAGACATCAGCCTCGAGTGACAATGCATTTCATAAACAATTAAGGAAAAGAAAACCAAACGTCCATCATGAAGCCCCTGTCCAAGATTATACACAGATTTTGCAACAGCACAAAACTATTCATGCAAAGAAAGAGGAAATCAAGAAGAAAAAAAATCCCAGTAAAAACAACCAGACAACAAAATTGCAAAACAAGGCAAGATTTTGAGCCATTTTGGAACTGTTTTTCTCCCTACTAGGCTCTAGCAAGACTAAGGTTTCCAGAAGCCATGCTGTAGAGAAAGTCTTGCTCCACATCCAAACCTACAACTAGAAAATTAACTGTCATGTTTCTTATTTTGAATATTATTGATCTTTTATGTCTCCATCTGAGGATGTCCATAAGGTGTGAACCTCTTTCACATTTTCTCAGGCAGAAGGGCACATTTGTTTACACAAGGAGCCTCCCCCTCCCCCTCTTCATAAAGCTTTTAATGCCACTATAAGGAATCTTATTCTTCTAACTCTGCTATATTACCTGAGTGATTGGGGAAATATCTGCCACACCTATGGCAATCAGGGCCTTCTTCATCCGTTTATTCCTGTCCAGCAAACCTCTTAAGCATATGCTTAACTTTACGTTCCATTGGCATCAATGTGAAGCAAGAGATGGTAGAAAGAAATCATTCTATTATTTTCTTTCTCCACCAGTCCAATGTTTACCACAAAAAGCATTAGAAATGTCAGCCTTGCATGAACAATGCAAGAAGGAATGAAGAAAGAGAGGTAAGGAAACAGAGGTTCACAATGGACAAAGCATAAACTCACAAGTGGCCTTGTCAATAATATATAGTTAGTAGATAAAGAAATTGTAAGAAAAGTAACGTGATAAGCTTGTAGCTGCAGCTTTGCTTACTAGCCTACTTTGCAGCTCTTGGACAATTCATGATCTGTACCGGGATCAATTATAAAAATTAGTGTATCAATCATAAAATATACGATACAATGTATTGACAAATAGTATTCAGTATAAGTATGTTGATAAGCTAATTCATGATTATGTATCTTGGGTTTGTGTTGTACTCTGTATCCAACCTCTACTCTCGAGCTTGATCAACTCAAGTGTAGTTTGACTGTATGTGAATAAAGAAACCTTAGTGATGAGTCCAGAGTTGAACTGATTTCTTCTATTCCATAAAACTGGATAAAGTGTTCTCCCAGAACTGGACATGGTGTTCTGGTTGAGCCAAGTGGAAAAAGTCTTAAGGAATTTCAACAAGAAACTGCTACACCGCATTCGTTTCTCCTTCCAGAAACATCTATATCCTTCCAAGCATACATAAGACCATACAAATGGCCACACTGGGTCAGACCAGTGGTGCATTAAGCCCAGCATCCTGTCTTCTGACAGTGGCCAATGTCAGATGCTTCGGAGGGAATTAACAGCACAGGGCAATTATCAAATGATCCATCCCCTGTCATCCAGTCCCAGCATCTGGCAGGCAGACATTTATGAGCACCTAGAGCATGGGGTTGCATCCCTGACCATCTTGGCTAATAGCCACTGATGGACTTTTCCTCCATGAATTTATTCTTTTCTGAACCCAGATATACTTCTGGTATTCACAGAATCTCCTGGCAATGAGTTCCAGAGGTGTAGGGTGACCAGATCGCAAGAATAAAATATCGGGACACATGGGGGGAGCATGGGCGATGGGTGGACTCCCCCACACTTCATGGAGGCTAGCCCTGTGGTCCCGCCCCTGCCTACACAAGGTCCCACCTCCTGCAGCAGGAGCCCTGAGCTCCCCCGCCTCCTCCATGGCTGGAACCCCAAGCCACCCCACCCCCCAGCACCAGAGGAACCCCGGGCCGGCTGGCCTGAGCAGCCCCAGCCACATGTCAGGGGTGCACGGCCCCGGCTCCAGCTCCCAGCGGGAGGGGGTGCAGGCTCCAGGCGGCGCTTACCTTGGGTGGCTCCCCGGAAGTGGTGACATCTCCCTCTGCGTCCTAGGCAGAGGCAAGGCCAGGCAGCTCTGTGTGCTACTGCTGCCTCTACCTGCAGATGCTGCCCCCGCAGCTCCCATTGGCCACAGTTCCTGGCCAATAGGAGTTGCAGAGCCTGTGCTCATAGCGGGGGCAGCATGCAGAGCCCCCCAGGCCTTCCCTCTAACTAGGAGCCAGAGGGAGATGTCGCCGCTTCTGGGGAGCTGCGTGGAGACAGGTAGGGAGCCTGCCAGCCCCGCACCAACCGGATGCCTGGCAACCCTACAATATCGGGCCAAATGGCGTCCCGATCATACATTGGTCGGGATGTAGGACAAAGAGTTAAATATCGGGACAGTCCCAATTTTATCAGGACGTCTGGTCACTCTACACAGGTTTGACAGTGCATTGTGTGAAGTAGTACTTCCTTGTGTTGGTTTTAAACCTGCTTCCTTTAATTTCATTGGGTTCTTGGGGTAAATAACACTTCCCTATTCACTTTCTCCACACCATTTATGATTTTATAGACCTCTGTCATATCCCCTTTAGTCACCTCTTTTCCAAGCTGACCAGTCCCAGTCTTTTTAATCTCTCCTCATATGGAAGCAGTTCCATACCTCTAATCATTTTTGTTACCCTTCTCTGTGCCTTTTCCCATTCTAATATATCTTTTTTGAGAAGAGGCAACCAAAACTGCATGTAGTATTCAAGGTGTGGGGATACCATGGCTTTATATAGTGGCATTATGGCATTTATTGTCTTATTATCTATCCCTTTCCTAATGGTTCCTAACTTTCTTAACACAAAAAATTAAGTTGATTTTACTTAATGTTGCTGTCCCACTACTGATAAGATCCTACCCCATGGTGCACAAGTACATTGGATGCTGGAGGAAGATATCATAGGGAGTTGATTTTTACAACCCTTAGCACAGTTATTCAGGAGGAGGGCAGGAAACAGTGATAGAGTTCTACTGAATACTAGAGGAAAGGCCACCACCTAATGTCTCTTCAAGTATCCCAAAGCCCAAGAAGCCTGGTAAGCACAGTACCCCTGTGGTCATGCTGCAAATGACAACAAGCACTTGGAAATACAATCTATTCCTATATGCAGTGCACAAGCAGGATGACACCTCCAACCTTAACTCTGTCACTGCCTCAAAGTACCTCCTTAGTGAGTTAAGTCAGGATTTTGATCTGTGCTGCCTACTTCACAGCCATGAATGAGTTAAAACCACACACTGATGAACCAAGCATCAAAGCACACATATTCTGCATAAAGGAGCAGAAATTGCACTTCTAATTCTCATATTCAGCGTCTTCAAGTGATGATGCACAGAGGTACCTGCAGCCCAAAATAAATTACATTATGTTGCTTGATATATAGGGTGAATAGGTGTGACAAAATGGAACATGAGAGATATGCACCAAAAAGTCCATGAATCACTTCTTAGCTTTAAACGTAGCTTACAAGGCAAACCTTGTCTCCACTTGTCCCTTCTGATCACCAGTGACTGCCATCATACTGTAGATCTCATTTCTGATTTAACTACCTCAGAAAGCTGTGTTCTGAAATGTTGTTCCAATACTGAAGATAAGTACCTGGCTACTTACCATAATATCCTGCCAGAATAAGAGAGTAGGTTAAATACAGTCTGCATTTGGCAAAGTTATTACAATTCATTAGCCTTACTAGTACTTGTGGGATGCTGTCCTTTGCTAGGATGATCTTTTCCAGGAACACCATCAGTTATCAGTGAAATCATAGTTGAATCTTCACCCCGCTTGTCATCGAAGGGTGTTGCAATATCATCTGTGTGATGAAGGGTGAATCAACTGTAACTTTTCATTTGCTGAGCCACCACTCCTGCTGTTCTCATTGTTAGTACTTTCACACTATAAGAAGCCTAGGTCTTTCATTTGTTGGTCCAGTGGAAGGATAAAAGGACAGGAGACTAGGGTCTTTCTGTAGTTCATCATTAAATATCATTGATTTTCAAATCTTGGTATCTAATCATTAACACTGATGGTTCAAAGGAGTGTCAATTGGCAGCAGCCCAATGATAATGAGCATGGCAGCTAAGGTGGCAAAGACAACAACTTGCTCACCGAAGGCTGGATTTATGTTCGTGTAGCTGCAGCTCTGGATCTGGAACCCACACAAGTGCTTGAGGCCATTTGTAATGTTGCCATTATCATTACATATTATGAGCTTTGGTCCAGGCAAAGACTACAATTGTAAGCAGAAAAGAGGAGAATTTCCATAGAGAGCAGTGGAAAGACAATTCATGAAATTTGAGAAGGATGTTGTTCTAACATCAATTCCCATGGAGAGAATAGTGGCATTATCTTGCCATGTTAGTTTGATGTCACTGGTAAGCCATGTGGAGAAGCAGGCCCAAAGTCCCACAAGTACAGTACCACCAGCAAAGCAACTTTATCCTCTGCCAACACGTTCACTCAAAAAACAATTAATTAAACATTTTAATAGATGGGTAGGACAATGGCATGATCTCTTGGTATCCTCTACTTGTAAATGATTAGTGAACAGTTAAATAAAAGCTTGTGTCCATAGCCCAGAGGAATGCTCTCTGCTATAAAGGAAGGATGGCTGGTCTTGTGATTAAGTTGCTGAAGCAGGACTAAGGAAACCTAGGTTCAATCCACACTTCCTGTGGGATCTTGGGCAAGTCACTTAGTTTCTCTGTATCTCAGTTCCTCTTCTCTAAAATGGAGCTCATACAGCACTTCCCAATTTGTGAGGGCAAATTTATTAATATTTCTGAGACCTGCACGTACTCTGAGGATGTGGGCCATGTAAGTGCTTACACATATGAAAGCTAATAGGTACTTAACCATCAACATAAAGAGAGATTAAATCAGAAAATCTTCTACCACATGTGCCTTGAAGTCAAAAGAAAAAGAAAACCAAGAAAATGAAACAATTTAATTCTCTTCTATTCACCTATACAAATTTTGCCCTAGGTCACACCTATACAACTCCATGGTTATCCCAGACCCAATTTTGTCTTCTCTAGGGCTTCCTGGATGTAGCTCAGGGCAGAACTTGGTTCTTGGTCTATATAGAAAGCCCTTCCCTATCTCCTGGAAAAAGAAGAACTAAAATGGAAGGCTGACAGCACCAACATTTTTACCTTTTTTGCATATTGTGATATGCTTATCAAACACAGTTTACAACTTAAGGTTTGCAAGAAGGGATTCAACTGCATTTGTATTGTAAATCTCTACTTATTCATGTATTATTTAATATGGAGTCCACAAATATGATCATACCGGAGAATAGGTAAGACTATTCCAGCTTGATCTCTAGGTACTGAAATCCTATCCTCCTACACCTGCTTCTGCACTTACTTTTCCAGATTCTTCTGGTAAAATCCGTCATTATGTTCATCTCTTGTCCTTGCACCTGTGATATTTCTTTGTTATAGAAATGTTTTGCTAGATTTCACTGAGCCTGATCCTTCTCCCAGTGAAATCAACCATAACAGTCCCATTGATTTCAGTAGGTGCGACACCAGGCTCTTAGAAGCATCTATTATCACACCATACTGTGAAATTATTCCTGGAGGAAAAAAACCAGATTTTTTTTGATGTGTGATTGCTTTACACTGTCATGTTATTATGAAATGTCTCTAGAAAGTGAAAATTTTCTATGATCATAAATACACAACTTTTTCCAGTCCAATTCTTTCTCAAGAGCCCCAGGAATATGGGGCAGAGATTGTGCTCTCTCTTTTCCATAACTATAGTGGTTAGTTACAAAGCCTTTGCAGATTTTGATGCCCCAAGACACACTGTGTCCATCAGTGATGCCCCTTAGATTCTAAGAATGGAATCACAGTGCTATGTTTTCATCCAGTTATTTTAAGAGCACACATTAAGGTACAATAGTATATAATCCATTATTCTTACTGGTACTTGTGGGATGATCTTCCTTTCTGCCAGACCCAGAAGAATAATCTGTTGACAGTGCATCTGGGGTTATCTCTTCATAATATGGGGTACCAGGCATGCGAGTTCCGATGATGTTGGGGTTCGTTGCATCTCCGTCATGTATTGACCCACTACTCACATGGTTATCATCTGTAACTGGAGTTGGGTCAGTGTGTTTCACACCATCAGTGTAACGTGAGCCATCTTCATTATCTATGACTGTTGGAAGGAGAAAGATCAGTTGTAATATCTGAGGCTTACATCGTGAATGTTGGAGTTGTGGGGCGAGGCTAAAGGGCTATGGCCACAGTTGTAGTCATACCTGATCTCAACCAATTTGTTTTCTGTCTATCTGTTTTATCCTTCACTGATCTATCTATGTCAGTTCTAATTTGTGTATGCATCACCATCATGGGCCCAGTCTGGTAAAGTCTGGATTAACTTTCAAGGTGAAATCCTGGTACCATTGAAGTCAATGATAAAATTCCCATTGATTCCAATGAGGCCAGGATTTCATCCTGAGAGACCAGTTCCATCCCTAGTTCCTCGCCAGGCTAGCAGGCTTTGGCATGATGTGGAGGGTACATAATAACCGTGGGACATAGGAGTCTTAAACAAAGCTCTCTCATCAAAGAAGCAAATATCAGTCCATTATTTATTAAAAACAATCTAGTGTCAATATGGAGAATTTACTACGCTAGTACCACCTCAAGATAAATGCTGTCACATACAGCCTAATGTTGGGTGGCAGATGGAGGTCTGATTGCTTCATTTGCAGTATATTACTATCTCTGGACTTGCTTCTCTTATGTTTAGCATGATATTGAACATTTGCATTACTTATATACAGAAGAGAAACCAGGTAGCTGAAAATGGAATCAATGCTAAATCATTCACTTACGCAATACATTACCTATTTGACTTGTATTATCATGCCCAGAAACATCTAGTCTTGTGATTGGTTCACATGCCTTTCCCCTGGTTTCTGAAAGGAGGTGGGGACAGAAGAAATTAATTAGTTAATTTGGCAAAAGGTGGTGAGAAAAATTCACTCTTTTCTGCCCTATTTATTAGATTCAGAGTGTTATCAACAACTTGTTAGAAAAGTTTCTTGGAGTCTCGTCTGAAAGTGGCTTTGAGAATACTAAGAATTTTGTAAACTTTTTTAAAGGGACAAAATGGGTGTATTTTAATCCAATTTCACAAAATTGGATTAAATTTGGATTTAAATTTAATTAAATTTCACAAAATTACTCTCAGTGTTCTCAATTTGAGTCAGATCCTCAACCCAGGACAAGTCCCCATTTTGCCACTCCAGCTGACCCCAAAGGCAGGGATTGTATGATTCCCTGTACTGAGGGCATTCTGGGGTAGAGCACTTAGGAGACATTATGGGGGTAGAAGAAGCTAATCCTTGGCTGGCAGAACAGTCCTTTAGGGACCATTCCAATCAATATAAATTAGAGCTCCTCTATGGTCCAGTCTGACTCTCTCCGACAGCTCCAGTATCAGAGCTGGTAGCTCAGAGCCCTTTGCCTCTCTCTACCCCAACCCAGGATTAAGCCCCTTGAGTTCCAGAGAGTGGAATGAGGCTTCAGATATTCTCTGTCAAAATATCACCACTATTTAAATCACCATTGAATTTGTCCTAAGGATATTTGTGGAGTTGCCTCTATTTATACCAGCTCTGAATATGACCAATTAATTTAACAAAATCTAGGCAACTCAATCAAGCCAGTCTCTTATTCTTCACACATTTCCTGTGCCCAGTTATTGCAGCACAAACATTGAGCAAAATTATCCACAGCTCCCTGACAATTTGATTCTGAAAATTTTAATTTTGCAGGGGTCCTTTTTGGCCCTCATGTGGCACAGAAAAATAAACAAAATTAGAAACATTTAAAATTATTATTAAAATATGTAAGTCCATAAATGGAAGAACTCCACAAAAGAAGTGGCCTGCCTCTGAACCTACAATACTAATGTAGCTAAGCAACACCTGAATTTATGCTTCCCAGAGGCCTCATGTAAGTGGAGGAAGCAAGCTAAGAGTCTTCAGGGTCCCTGATCTTTCAGCGCTTGTAAACTTCACTATTATTAGCTCTAAAAACATGTGAGTAAAAGAATGTGAGGAGTAGAAATCATCACATTCAACAATTCTGTGTCCTTTGGATCCATACTTGTGGCATTTCCCTACTAAAATGACAATTCTTGAGGTTTAGAATCATAAGTTAAATATGAACTCAGAAAATTGTTTAGTTCAAAATACAATGGGCCAAAGTCACCGATAGTATCAGCAGGAACAACTCCACTGACTGGCAAAATGTGTTCTATCTTCAAATGCAAAAACAAGACCACAATGCACAAACAATTTAATGGAAGCTCTGGTTCGAGCTACCTAAAGGGGAGAGAACATATGTTACTGTTAAATACATTCATTCTCACTTACACAGTACAGCAAATACCTACCTGACGCATTATAACAATATGTATCATACCGGTCTGTTATATTTGAAACGAGTATGTAAATTCCAGTGTTATTTGCTGCACAAAGAGAATATGGCTTGATTCGTGGAATTACAATTTTGTCTTCTATGAAACCATACCTGTGAAGAACAGAGAGTGAACAATACTGTCAGGAATGAAGGTGTGCAGCTGAGCCGGCTAGCTCGGTCTCCAGGCTGACTAATGAACACAACTACAGCAGAACTGGCTGATTGATCAACCTGCCTGACTGGCTGAGGGGAACCAGGAGGCATGTTCTTAAGCCCAGCTGCACCAGAAGGTCGGTGACTGCTCAACACTTATGACCACAGCTGCAATCGCTCTGTGCCAGCCTTGTTCCTCCTTTCTCTGGCCCTGCTCCCCTGCTTGTTTCCTGACTCTGGCTTTGACCCTTGATATGTCAACCACCAGATCTGACCCCCATGTTCAGTGGCTGACAAACACCATGTTATGTATCACAGCATACAACAGATTCTTTCCTCATGACTTCCAATACCACCAAATAGGCCAAATAGGAGACAGAGCATTTCATATCATGGAATAAAAATAATCCCAAATCTGGTCATGGAGATTACTCCTTTTTTACATCCACATTAACATCACCAGCACCCACCTCCAATATCATTCTGCATGTAATCTCTGAACTAATAACCATTGCAATGCAGTGTGAATTATTAGAGAAGACAACTGGTCTGCATGGGGATGCAATGAAAATGAAGACTAAAAAGGGTAAACACTTCTCGTTCAATTGGGATGTGTATTATAAAACACAGAGGATCAAAGCTCTGATTTTTTTCATTGAGCTACATTTCCACTACTTTTAGCCTAATAAATTGCTCAGTACCATTTTGCATTGGAATTGTATGCCACAAATCTGAAGAACGGATGGAGATCATGAGCAAAGATGTGCAGCAATGATTTATAACATGCCAGTCTCTGCGAAGTGCAAAACTTTAATAAAGTGTTCAAAAGTAGCAATATTTCACCTACAGAATGTTAGCTAAAATACTTAATATCCCCCTGAATAATATGTGCTGCAAATAACGCTGCCATTGAGTATGGGTCCCATAAATCAGGCTGAAATTTCATGTGAGCTTGTGGTTAACAAAATTATGTAACAAGTTATTACTATTTTGCAATCCCATATCAAATGACTAATTCCTGTGAAGGTACTGAAATCTATTGAGATGAGAGTGGTGATTAAATGTTAAAGAGCCCTAGGGTTGGGGATTGTTTTAAGAGCTGCTACTTATCAGGGAGGGGCAGGAGTGGTATGTTAGCTGCTTGGACTCTGTCTCAGTTGTGGTTCCCCAAGCGCTGTTACAGTCCACATCCATGATTCACATCCACCTGGATCAAATCATGGCAATGATATTTGAAATTCTATATCTCTAATATGGGTGGAACAATAGATTACTTCACTGGCACAGCCATATTTTGTATTAGTCCTAGATCCTGTATCCTATTGCTAAGACTACCACATTGGCAGTGTTATAATAAAAATCTTTCTTGTTTTATGGCCTGCTGACTCATTCATGTTCACTCTCTACTCCTTGTGTGCTTTGACTATTATGTATAATGTCTTAGTTCTTCCTTTTGTCTCCCACTCAGGCCCACAGAGTTGGATTTATGGTACTGTGCCAGAGGAATACAAATAGACAGCACCAACAAATTATTTAAAAATAGCTCAAATTCCATATCTGTCCTCTTCTAGGTTCATGGATAAGGGGGGAAAGTGCAGTGAAAGCAAAACCACATCTCTCCTCCAATGTGAAAAATAGTTCCTGCTATTTCTTTTACACTTTAAGTTCTTTTCCATTTTCTTCTCATCTTACCTATAAGAGACTCTATCCAGTGCATGAGAGTCAAAAGTTAGAGATAGAAAATGCCTATTTGATCATTCAGTACTTTCCCCACCACTGCAGGACTGTCCCTCTGACTAGTCTTTCATTTGGCAGCATTTTAAATCATCCCTCCACTTCACTTGGGAGACTGTTATGTAACACTCACCATGGGGAATTTTTGCCTGATATTTCCTGGCAATATGGCTAGCATCATTCTCCTACTGCAGAGGCACACATATTATTCTGATTTAAACCAGTGAATGAGCTCAGGGCACAGTCCTGGTGAAAGGGCAACTAGGGCTGCAGGAGATCTTCAAAGATTGCCTGCCCATGCATTTGCAATTAATAGTAACAGTGCATGACATTAATACTGCATCACACTGAACATTTTCAAAGCACTGCACAAACATGAACTAATTTAATTATTTTGATACTAATTAAACTAATCTCTTTCCATAGATATGATTTTGTCAATACTACACTAACATGAAAGCAATTTTATCAATTTCTCATGAATTTGCAGACTAGTGCAAAGGGAAGAAAATTAAAACAGTTAAAAGACTAAGAAAAACAAAACAGCCTTGATTCAAATTTACAATAGACAATTCCACCATCACATGCAATAACTTTAAACATTGTCATTTAGTTTAATTTTTCTTTTGGTAAATATTAGGACTCTCTTTAGAGGGCTGATAAAAAGTACCAGCTGGCAACATTCAAAGAGTTGAAGAGATGCTCACTGAGCTTTCTACCCCAATAACCTACAGGATGAATCCTGAAATCCCTACTCACTTCCTACTAAAGTTGAAATCCCACTGAAGTTAGTTGATCCATTTGATTTAAATAAGGGTTTTATTGCTATGAGTCTATATTGCTTGAACACCCTCTGCACTTGCTGCGCTTGAATCTTGTCTCCTTTCTACAGCTGCTTGTTTGGGATAACCTGTATAATTCATAGAGTCATAGATTATATGGCCAGGAAGGACAATTGTGTTCAGCTAGTCTGTCCTTCTGCATAACACAGACCATACATAGGACTTCCCTGAATTAATTCCTGTTTGAACTAGAGCACATCTTTTAGAAAAGCATCCAATCCTGATTTTTAAATTTCCTATGATGGCGAATCCACCACAACCACTGGCCGATTGGTTAATGGTTAATTACCTTCAGTGTTAAAACCTTGTACCTTATTTCCCATCTGAATTCATCTAGATTCAACAGCCAGCCATTTCCTCTTGTTATAGCTTTGTCTGCTAGTCTGAAGACTCCTGTATTATCAAATATTTGTTCCCATGTAGGTACTTATAGACTGTAATCAAGTCACCCCTTAACCATTTCATGATAAGATAAATAGATCGAGTTCCTTGCGTCTATCACTATAAGGTGTGTTTTCCAATCCTTTAATCATTCATGCAATTTTTCACTGAACACTCTCCAATTTTTCAACATCCTTCTTGAATTGTCCACACCAGAACTGGACAGAGTATTCCAGTAGCAGTCACACCAATGTCAAATACAGAGGTAATATCATCTATTACTCAATATTTCACCCCTTTATATAGCCAAGGAATACATTAGCCCTTTTCGCCATAGTGCCACACTTGGAGATCATGTTCAACTGATTATCCAATATGATCCACTGCTTCCCAGAACAGAGTTCCCCATCCTATAAGTATGGCCTCAATTCTTTATTTCTAGATGTAGGACTTTACATTTGGCTCTATTGAAATACGTATTGTTTGCTTGCACCCAGCTTACCAAGTAATCCATATCACTCTGAATCAATGACTTGCCCACTTCATTATTTACTATTTCCCCAATCCTTGTGTCATCTGCAAATTTTATCAATAATGATTTTATATTTTCTTCCAGGGCATTGATAAAAATGTAAATAGTGTAGGGCCAAGAGCCAATCCCTGAAGGATCCCACTAGAAATACACCTGCTTGAATATGATACTTCATTTACAATTACAATTCAGTCATGCTTTTCTACTCATAGGTGATGTGACCATCTCATTAATAGCTATTTAAAAGTAATTGCAGTTGGCACACCACATCGTCATGGCTGGACAGACAGATAGCTATACATATTCACTATATATTATCTTCTTTATAATTTCCTTACCTGCAAGTTTCAAATCCTAATCTGTGAGCATTCTTCATCTGGTCCATTGTTGGCAGGGTACTATTGAGAGCTTTGCAGAGTTCAACTGCCTCATCTCGTGTGAGACTGTAGCGACGATTTTTCTCAACATGGAAAACTCCTGCATATCTGCAACTTATATTAAATTCTGTTGATTAAAAAAAAGAAATTATTACAATGATAATACTTGCTGTTTCACTGAAACCCTAGCAAGATTTAATTTCCAAATATAATGAAGTTACAGAGAACCATCAACATCTGCCAGTTCATTAGGGGAGAAGGCTTGCACAATAAATCTGTTTTTCCAAACTACACTCAGATCCTTTTTGCTCAAACACCACATTAATGTCCAAGAACAGTAGCATAGTGTTTCTGTGAGGTGCCTAGCAACTTTTGGGAACATGCAAAAAAAATCATCAATCATCAAAAATCATCCTCAACAACAAATTGGTGCAGAAGATCTAATGGGACAGATTGCCAAGATATTTTAGAAACACATCTGTCTGGAAAAGTTTTGGCTTCATTGTAAACATTCGTCAATGAAAATTTCCAGACTGCTGTAGTTTGTAGACCTCTTAATAAATATGTACCACATTCAAAACCGCAGTCTTGCAGATTTTTCTAGTTTTTATACAATGTGCACCAGATTCATCGCTGTCGTAATTAAGTGGTGCTCCATTGATATTGGTATAAAGTATATAGAAAGTGCACTGTTTGAGTCTTTGTAGCCATACTCCTATATCTAAGGAAATAGTGTCCAACCATCCAGGTCCATTTTAAATCTGCTTACATCTAAGCACCTCATTCATAAAGGGAAAAAACAAGAAAAGGTGAAAATGGTCATAATCTGACCATTTCTGAAATATACAGTCCCTGTATTAAATGATCTCATTCTGTTCACTTCAGGGTTTAAAATTTTTCATGAAAACATACATCAAAGCAGAACTAACGTCTGAAACTATTTCAGCATCAGCACAAGCAATAGGTTCCTTTTGGCATGTCCTAGGTCAGGGCAGACTAATTAGACTAGTTTGATATCATATGCCACAGCTGATGTAGAAAGCAAGTAAGCAGTGTGCAACAGTATTTCTAACTATAAAAGCACTGAGCTGCTAAATATACCCTCACAGACGAGCTCTAAGGAACCATACAGCCAGATAGGAATGGTTGGAATACACCTAACTCACTTTCATTTGGAAGCACATTATGGACATTCGTTTCAGAGATATGGTCAACATCTCTGTAGGGCAGTGTGAAGTACCTTTTTCTACTGTGAACCACTATATCAATGTCAGTATACAACACAACAACGTAACTAACATTGTAAAGAATGCTGGATGTTAAAAATTTAATAATATCAAAGCGCTTTGCCCATGAAAAGCACCATATTTGGCTAGAACTAAGTAATTTTTCAACAATAATTATGTATTATTTAAAAATCTAGGTGCCACTGTTATGTGACAACTCAAATGGGCTAAAGTCAGGAGTGAGTCCTGGTGCAATGTAAGTCTTCTTCCAGACTCTCAGCACTTAAGTTATATCAACCTAGTGTGACATGAGGGTCATTTAGGGTTTGTCTAGAAAGGAAAAGGCTGCATTAGCCAAGTGTAAGCCTAGCGACTCCTTACTAGCTTCCAATGTGGACACTCTCGCTGCTCACTAAGAGTACCACTGTGCAGTTTAGTTAATGAACTTTGTCAATGTGTTAAGCTAAAATATACAAAAGCACTCCTAGGCTATGTCTACACTTGGAGCTGGGGTATGATTCCCAGAACTCGTTTACATATCCGCACTAGCGCTCGTCAAGCTAACATGCTAAAAATAGTAGTGTGGTTCCAGTAGCTCATGCAGAGGTAGAGTTGGCATAGGCTAGCTGTTCTAAATACGTACCCAGGTGGTACAGGTGGGTTTCTATTCAGGGTGGCTAGCCAGCACCACCACTTGCCATTGCTCATGCCACTGTGGCTACACTAGTATTTTTAGTGCACTCTCTCAGTTCGAGCTAGAGTGAGTGTATCTACATGAACTGGGAATCACAGCCCTAGCTTCAAGTATAGACATCCCTTTAATGCACAGCAAGAGTGTCCACAAGGGGACTTAGTGTGAATTAGCTAGTGCACTTAAAATTCACAACTTAGTGTGCTGCACGCTAACTTTCTCATGTAGACAAACACTTAGACTGACCTCTAAATTTGATCTAAATGTCTGAAAGCATAACTGCCCAATAAAAAAAATAAAAAATTCAAACAAACATAAACCTCTCCTACGGGCACTCAGCCTCCCCTATTATTGACTTCCCACTGACTTCAGAGGGAGGACTTTTGAAAATCAGACCACTTATTTAGGTCCATAAATATGAATTTAGGACTCTAACTTTAGGCATCCATTTCTAAAAGCCTTGATCATACCTCTGGCAATGGACCTGGGAACACTGAAAAAGTAGCACATTCAGCTCATAAGGGAGGGAAGTGCCTCAAATTGTGCTGTAGAGACTGCATCAGCTGGTGAAAGGCATAAAACTAGAGAGGCTCCACAGAGAACACCTCTTCATTCCTCTTTGGCTTGGAAAGTTAGAGGCTTCGAGGTATAGATGGTAAAGTGGGGAAAAGACTGTATGACCCGAAGAATACCCATAGACAAACAACAAAAGGAGTGAGGGGAAGAAGAAAGCAAACATACACAATGAACTGCTTTTTTGACAGTGGAAAAAAAGTAACAGCTCTGGAAGGTGGGGAAAGATTCAATATACTTCAAAGCAAAAAATAATTAACTCAGCTCCGACCCCACCCTTCCCTCAAGAGGAAACTTGACTGCAGCCCCAGACTAAAATGACAATCCCAGATCATACAAAAACACAGTTTATTCTTCCCAGCGAAGTGCGGGGCATGACTCATATTAATATTAGTAGGAGTTCCAACATGCATCAAAGAGAAAACAGATCCAATCTCCTGCACACATTGCAATGTCGTTTCTCTCTGGTGCCTACAAAACTAAAAGGTACCACATAATAATCTCTCCCCTATGAGCTCCAGAGTGCAATCCCTAAACATTTGTATAGACACCTCTTCTGGATATATCGGCAGTCATTCTCCTTTAACTCCCATCGTTTGCCATGAGCTAGACAGCCAATGTTATTCTATAAACACACACATAAAAATAAATGATAGTAATCAAAGGGTACTGCATAATCACCACTGCTGTAAACCACATGGAATATTTCTTCCCATATGGAAGTTGGAAACAAATAAGCAAATAGAACAGTAAATCAGACTCAGATTGTATGTATGTAAAAGGATTTTTATTATTTATACAAGAGTAACTGCACCATAAATGTACGTGACACTGACAATGTCCCTGACCTAAGGAGTTAAAATCTATGGGCTCGATCCTGAAAACATTTACTACCAAGGCAGTGGGAGTAAATCATGGTGGCAAATATTGCACCAGGTATTACATGTTTCATCTCATGTATAAATTTAGGGCCAAATCCTGGAGCTGGAAGGGGGTAGAGAAAGGAAGGATGTGGTTTATAACAACGAGACATTGTGGTTTCTTCAGTTAGACCTGAAGCAGGAGTGGGTGACTGACGGAATGGCAGACTAGTCAGGAAGCAGCTCTGACTTTAGGGGCCCATCCAGAAGGAGCCACAACGATCAGAGTGGGAGAAGTTATTCAGCTTGGCTAGCGCAGAAGGGCCTGAAAGAAGATGAGAGCAGAGCAAAATGGCAGCTAGAGCTGTGTGGAGAACTGCAATTCCATTTGGTGAAGGATTTTGAGATTTTGACACCTGTCTTCATTCCAATTCCCCACAACAGAAAATTCCAGAAAAAATGCATTTCAGTTCAATCTCAGTATTTCATTTCAATTCTCCCTTTTTAATTTTTATATTATAATACACCTCTACCCCGATATAACGCGACCCGATATAACATGAATTCGGATATAACGCGGTAAAGCAGTGCTCTGGGGGGTGGGGCTGTGCACTCCGGTGGATCAAAGCAAGTTCAATATAACGCAGTTTCACCTATAACGCGGTCAGATTTTTTGGCTCCCGAGGACAGCGTTATATCGAGGTAGAGGTGTATGTGATTCAAAGCTGTAAACATTCAAACAAAAAGTTGTTTGAAAACAAACATTCAAAAATTTTGTTCTGAAAACATCAGAACAAGACATTTTGACACTGTCAGAACGTTTTTATCCGTTTTTCTCAAAAATTAAATATTGGCAAAAGCGACATGATTTTGCATTGTTTCAACTTTGACGGACTGCATTCTCTGACAGAAAATGATTCCATGTAAGTTTTTGCAACCAGCTTTAATGGTAGCCATGATGCATGGGCCTTTGACGCCAAGAATAAGAGCTTGTATATGATGCAGACTGGGAGAAGAAGCAAGTACGTTTTTCCAATATGGCTCAAGGCACCTGAATTGTGCTGGGAGGGGAGAAGCTGATGGGCTGCCTTAGCAGTGGTAGTCAGAGGCATTACTCCTACAGAGTGCAGAAACAGGCATAAACGCCCCCCCCCCCCCAAGTGCTCTGCAGCGCTGATTCCTGATGCTAGCAGAAAACAAGAGATGTGGCCATAGCCATGCACCCCACTCGATTGAAAAATGCCTCCTTCAGCATGATCAGGGAAAGTGGCATTTCTTGCCACTTTACCCCTTGAGCTCTTAGGATGTAGGTGTAAGACAAAGTGTGTGTTGCATCTCCCTTTAGTGACTGGCCCACATAGAGGGCAACTGTCTACTAGCGCAGTCAGCTAATGGAGCTTTGGATCTGAGGGTTCCAGATTCAAAACTTGATAACGCATTCAGGGGGTTATCGCACAAGCTGCCGAATCATAGTTGTCTCCTGCACAAATGAGCTAGCAAAATCTGTAAATAATACATATTCCACTAAGTCTAAGATTCATTAATAAAATGGGCTATTATATCCTAGAGAACTATTAGGGAGATTAAGAGTAACAAACCTGGCGATTGTGGAACTAGTTATTAACTTTGGACTTATTTCTGGGGCTGTAGGAAACTTTCACTAAAAAATCAGAAATCACATAAAACTTGCCTGGTTTTGGGTTGTGCTACAAACCTAAAACTCAACTTAGCTTCACTTTAATGTTGAGTAAAGTCACAGCTCTTTGGAGTGAACCTT